AGTCTATGGCTTTCTGTGTGAGTCTATTACTCTCTGTGTGAGTCTGTGGCTCTCTGTGTGAGTCTATTACTCTCTGTGTGAGTCTATGGCTCTCTGTGTGAGTCTATGACTCTCTGTGCGAGTCTATGACTCTCTGTGCGAGTCTATGACTCTCTGTGCGAGTCTATGGCTCTCTGTGTGAGTCTTACTCTCTGTGTGAGTCTGTGGCTCTCTGTGTGAGTCTATGACTCTCTGTGCGAGTCTATGACTCTCTGTGTGAGTCTATGACTCTCTGTGCGAGTCTATGACTCTCTGTGCGAGTCTATGACCCTCTGTGCGAGTCTATGACTCTCTGTGCGAGTCTATAACTCTCTGTGCGAGTCTATGGCTCTCTGTGTGAGTCTATTACTCTCTGTGTGAGTCTGTGGCTCTCTGTGTGAGTCTATGACTCTCTGTGCGAGTCTATGACTCTCTGTGTGAGTCTATGACTCTCTGTGTGAGTCTATGACTCTCTGTGTGAGTCTGTGGCTCTCTGTGTGAGTCTATGGCTCTATGTGTGAGTCTATGACTCTCTGTGTGAGTCTGTGGCTCTCTGTGTGAGTGTATGGCTCTCTGTGTGAGTCTATTACTCTCTGTGTGAGTCTATTACTCTCTGTGCGAGTCTATGGCTCTCTGTGTGAGTCTATTACTCTCTGTGTGAGTCTATTACTATCTGTGTGAGTCTATGACTCTCTGTGTGAGTCTGTGGCTCTCTGTGTAAGTCTATGACTCTCTGTGCGAGTCTATGACTCTCTGTGTGAGTCTATTACTCTCTGTGTGAGTCTATTACTCTCTGTGTGAGTCTATGGCTCTATGTGTGAGTCTATTACTCTCTGTGTGAGTCTATGACTCTCTGTGTGAGTCTATTACTCTCTGTGTGAGTCTATGACTCTCTGTGTGAGTATGTGGCTCTCTGTGCGAGTCTATGACTCTCTGTGCGAGTCTATTACTCTCTGTGTGAGTCTATGACTCTCTGTGTGAGTCTATTACTCTCTGTGTGAGTCTATTATTCTCTGTGTGCGTCTGTGGCTCTCTGTGTGAGTCTATTACTCTCTGTGTGAGTCTATTACTCTCTGTGTGAGTCTATTACTCTCTGTGTGAGTCTATGACTCTCTGTGTGAGTCTATGGCTCTATGTGCGAGTCTATGGCTCTCTGTGTGAGTCTATGACTCTCTGTGCGAGTCTATGACTCTCTGTGCGAGTCTATTACTCTCTGTGTGAGTCTATTACTCTCTGTGTGAGTCTATTACTCTCTGTGTGAGTCTATTACTCTCTGTGTGAGTCTGTGGCTCTCTGTGTGAGTCTATTACTCTCTGTGTGAGTCTATTACTCTCTGTGTGAGTCTATTACTCTCTGTGTGAGTCTATGACTCTCTGTGCGAGTCTATTACTCTCTGTGCGAGTCTATGGCTCTCTGTGCGAGTCTGTGGCTCTATGTGTGAGTCTATGACTCTCTGTGTAAGTCTATGACTCTCTGTGTGAGTCTATGGCTCTCTGTGTGAGTCTGTGGCTCTCTGTGTGAGTCTATGGCTCTCTGTGTGAGTCTGTGGCTCTCTGTGAGTGTAATTTGCCGCTGCCCCAGCGACCTCATTCCATTCCGTGTCGCCGTCTTGTAAGCTGCGTCTCACGCGCCTTCAGTGAAGTCGCTCTCTCTCGCTCTCTCTCCACATACATGTAAGGGTAGATTATAATCAGCATTAGATTAGGCGATTCGGGATGGAAGATCTCAGCCAGGGATCTTCTGCTCCGTCTGCTCGCTCACGACCACCACCACGAGGAGGAGGAGGAGTTTGTTGTTGTTGTTGGTGACTTCTCCGTGAGCGCCACTTGGAATTCCAAGCGTCATCATCAACATCATCATCAACATCTTCAACATCATCACCATCACCGGGGTTAGAGTTGCATGTGTTCCACAGATGGGTATATTAACAACAATAAGTCCACGCGTGTTTATGCAGCCTAAGTATTCCGAATTACAGGTTGGTCCGGATGTCTTGAGACCTCTCCCCCCCCCCCCCTATTCCCTTCTGTTTTAAATACAAATTTCTTACAACATATACATTAAGTTGTAGAGGTTTAAATGGAGAGGGAGGGGGGGTCACAAGACATCTGGAACCACCCTGGAGGCTGCGTCCGCGTCACCGCTGTGGCCGCTGGGAGCACCGGAGTAGGCGTGACAACCACCACGCTCGAGGCGAGGGCGCGCGCCGATTGGCTGGGAATGTCTCGGTGCGATGTTTCTGACAGATGTTGCGATTTGATTTGCGATGAAACATTTTTTTTAAAGTCAAGCTTCAGTTCAATATTCGCTGTGTAATAGATTGAAAATATTAACTGCTCTAAATATTATAATGCAACGATGAGAACTTAAAAGATATTAATTGCTTCCAACGTGTATTTATTAAAATGTTTTAATTGAAATGGAACAATCAAACATCGAACAATTGTTAAGTTAAATAAATGTATAATAATACAAACCAAAAGAATTCTAATAAGAAAGTAATAGGACTTTTAAAATCGCAGCCTTTGCGATTTGTTAATCGCATTGTTTCAAATTGCGATTTCGATTTGAAATCGATTCATCGTTCCGCCCTATCGAGACACAAATATTCCCTGGGCTGAGCACCACCTCCTCCTGGCGTTCATTCCTCCTCCTCCTCCTCGCTTTGACATTACAAGCTTCAACAACAACATCATCATCAACAACAACATCGTCAAACTCAACAAAATCAACTTTTTTTATTGTACCAGGCAAGGCCCCACTGAGCTGTTTATTTCAGAAGCGACCTGGCCATCACAAATGACGGCCTCAACCAAGTGGAGGATTATCATCATCACCACCACCACCACGTGGAGATTCATAGTAGCAGTCAACTACTCTTAGCGCGTGGTGATGTTGATTCCAAACTTGGAGGGGGGAAAAAACCGCAGGAGCCAGAGAAAAATCCACGCGACCACGGAGAGAGAGAGACACGCAAACTCCAAATATACCGCAGCAGGCGTCAGCATCGGGATCAAACCCACGACCTCCTGCATACCAGGCGATGTAGTTAACATCTCCTAGCCACCGTGATGATGATGATGAGAGAGGCACGCAAACTCCAAATATACAGCAGCAGCAGGCGTCAGGATCGGGATCGAACCCACGACCTCCTGCATACCAGGCGAGGTAGTTAACATCTCCTAGCCACCGTGATCATGATGATGATGAGAGACACACGCAAACTCCAAATATACAGCATCAGGCGTCAGGATCGGGATCGAACCAGGGACATCCTGTAGCCAGGCGAGGTAGTTAACATCTCCTAGTCACTGTTATTGTTGCTGTGTTATTATTGTCGTCGTAGTAGTAGGGGGAAAAACCTATTATCAGCAGTGTAACCATTGCTGTTTCTATTGTTAGTATTATAGTGGTAATATTAGTGTAACCATTGTGTATTATTATGATTGTAGTGGTAGTAGTGTAACCAGGTATGTGTTTTATTATAGTGGTAATATTAGTGTAACCATTGATGTATTATTATTATTAGGATTGTAGTGGTAGTAGTGTCACCATTGATGTGTATTGGTAGTATTGTAGTGTAAGTATTGTAATCATTGCTGTTTCTATTGTTAGTATTATAGTCGTAGTAGTGTAACCATGTATGTGTATTGTTATAGTGGTAATATTAGTGTAACCATTGCTGTGTTTATTATTTTTACTATTTGTATTACGAGTACTGAAGTCGGATCCGTGGTGGTGCTGTAACCATCGCTGTGGTCGGCTGCTTTGGACTAGCTTCTCGCCGCCGCAACCGCTACTACCGCCGCCGCTGCTACCGCTACCACCGCCGCTACCTCTACTAACGCCGCCGCTGCTACCGCTACTACCGCCGCCGCTGCTACCGCTACTACCGCCGCTACCGCTACTACCGCCGCCGCTGCCACCGCTACTACCGCCGCTACCGCTACTACCGCCGCCGCCGCTACTACCGCCGCTACCGCTACTACCGCCACTACCGCTACTACCGCCGCCGCCGCTACCGCTACTACCGCCGCTACCGCTGCTACCGCCGCTACCGCTACTACCGCTACTACCGCCGCCGCTACTACCGCCGCCGCTGCTACCGCCGCTACCGCTGCTACCGCTACTACTGCTACTACCGCCGCTACCGCTACTACCGCCGCCGCTGCTACCGCCGCCGCTGCCACCGCTACCGCCACTACTGCTACCGCCGCTGCTACTGCTTCTACCGCCGCCGCCGCTGCTACCGCTACTACCGCCGCTACCGCTACTACCGCCGCTACCGCTACTACCACCGCTACCGCTACTACCGCTGCTACCGCTACTACCGCCGCTACCGCTACTACCGCCGCTACCGCTACTACCACCGCCGCCGCTACCGCCGCTGCTGCCACCGCTACCGCCGCTACTGCTACCACTACCACCGCTGCAGCTGCCGCTGCTGCTACCGCTACTGCCGCTGCTACTGCTGCTGCTACCGCTGCTGCTGCTACCGCCACTGCTACCGCTACCACCGCTGCCGCTACTGCCGCTGCTACCGCTGCTACTGCCGCTGCTACCGCTAGCACCGCTGCTGCTACCGCTAGCACCGCTGCTGCTACTGCCGCTGCTACTGCTGCTACTGCCGCTGCTACCGCTAGCACCGCTGCTGCTACCGCTAGCACCGCTGCTGCTACTGCCGCTACCGCTAACCGCCGCTACCGCTGCTGCTGTAGGTATATCGCGCGCCTCTTTACACGCCGATCAATAGATGCTTCGCTAATGGGACGCGCGAGAAGACAGTGGATTAATGGAACGTGAGCCCCGCCACCACCACCACCACCACGGCTTCAGGAGGAGTAGGAGGGGGTGGCTGGGGTGGAGATTCGCTGCTGAGTGCTTCACGATGGAAGCTCATCACGAATTAATGAAGAGGACACGACTCTGATGAAACGGCGGTGGCGTGGGGTGGGGGGAAGGTGGGGGAGGCGTTCACTCGGCGGTATCGGACGATTCGTGGTGGTTGGTGGTGATTGAGGAGAGAGAGCGATCTGTGATCGCTCGTTACGCGGTGACGTCCACGCGCGGTCGTGTTGGTGGTGGTCGCGTTAGATATGGAACAGCTTCGACGTTTCGGTCACTGTGCCAGCAGCAGAGCGCTTCCTGAAGAGAGCAGAGGGGGTATATAATAATAAATCATCGTCATCATCACGAGAGAGAGGGGGATAAGTGGCCGCAAATGTCCAGCGTCAGTGTCGCGGAGCTCACCATGAGACGCGACTGCGCTTCGCCACAACCCGCCACGGACAGCAGCTACACCACCCTCTTCACCACGGAGGACCTGCCGAACAATCACCACCACCACCACCAGTGTCCCCAACAACAACAACAACAGCATCATCAGCAGCAGGGCCAGGAGCTGCCGGTCGCGGCTTGGAGCGAGCGAGTGGCCATCAACGTGTCGGGCCTCAGGTTCGAGACGCGGCGCAGCACACTGGAGCGTTTCCCCCGCACGCTCCTGGGCGACGGCGCTCGCCTGCTGCGCTTCTTCGACCCGCTGCGCGACGAGTACTTCTTCGACCGCAACCGCGACAGCTTTGGCGCGATCCTCTTCTACTTCCAGTCGGGCGGCAGCCTCCACCGGCCCTCCGCGGTGCCCCACGGCCTCTTCGTGCAGGAGGTGCGCTTCTACGACCTGGGCGCCGAGGCGCGCGGCCGCCTCTGCGAGGAGGAGCGCTGTTCCCGCGAGGACCCCGAGAGGCCGCCCCTGCCGCGCAACCGCCTGCAGCGGCGCGCCTGGCTACTCTTCGAGCACCCCGAGAGCTCCGTGTGGGCGCGCGCGGTCGCCCTGGTCTCGGTGCTCGCGACGCTCGCGTCCGTGGTGGTCTTCTGCCTCGAGACGGTGCCGTACGGCGAGCGGAAGAGCGGCGGCAGGAAGGGCAGCGGCGAGGGGGAGGAGGGGGAGGAAGGTGGTGGTGGTGGTGGTGCGGCGGCGGCCGCGTTCGCCGTCGAGGTGGCGTGCATCGCCTGGTTCTGCCTCGAGCTGCTGGCGCGCTTCTGCGCGTGCCCCAGCAAGGCGGCCTTCTTCAAGAACTTCATGAACATCATCGACGTGCTCGCCATCGTGCCCTTCCTCACCATGCTCTGCCTGCCCGACGCCGACATGCAGAGCGCGCAGCAACAGGCGCTGTCCTTCGCCATCCTCCGAGTCGTCCGCCTCGTGCGAGTCTTCAGGATCTTCAAGCTGTCGCGACACTCCAAGGGGCTGCGCATCCTCGGGCAGACCCTCAACGCGTCCCTGCGCGAGCTCGGCCTCCTCGTCTTCTTCCTCTTCATCGGCGTCGTCCTCTTCTCGAGCGCCGTCTACTACGCCGAGGCGGACGAGCCCGCCACCAACTTCACGAGCATCCCCGTCGCCTTCTGGTGGTCCATCATCACCATGACCACGGTGGGCTACGGCGACATGTCGCCCATCACGCTGGGCGGGAAGATCGTGGGCTCGCTGTGCGCCATCGCGGGCGTGCTCACCATCGCGCTGCCCGTGCCCGTGATCGTCTCCAACTTCAACTACTTCTACCACCTCGAGATGGACGGCGGCGACTCGACTCGCGCCTGCACCGACGACTCCGAGCCGCGCGACGACGCCGACGCAGTCGCCACCGCGGGCGGCCCCGCGCTCATCTCCTGCCCCACCTCCTCCACCTCCTCCTCCACCTCCTCCTGCTGCTGCTGCCGCCGCCGCCACCTGCCTCCCGGGGTGATGAGCCCCGGCGACCAGCCGCCGAGGAAGGAGCTGAAGGAGCGGGAGACGGAGGACGAGAAGGGGTCGGCGTTGAGCCTCCGCGAGTTGGGAGACGCGGCACTGGGCGAGGGCGCGAAGCGGGCAGAGGACAAGGACGAGGAGGAGGAGGAGGAGGACGAGGAGCGCGCGAGCGAGCGGTGCTTGCACTCTTCCCTGGAGTGGGAGGTGAAGGAGGAGGTCGTGGTGGAGACGGACGTGTGATGGACCTCACGCCTCTCTGCGTCTCCATCTCTCTCTCTCCGTGTGTGTCTCTCTCGCCTCTCTCTCTCTCTAGTGCCTCGCCTTATCTCTCCGTGTCACTCTCCGTGTCTCACTCTCTCTCACTCTGTCTCTCTTGCCTCATCTCTCCGTGTCACTTTCCGTGTCTCACTCTGTCTCTCACTCTGTCTCTCTCGCCTTATCTCTCCGTATCTCACTCTGTCTCTCTCGCCTTATCTCTCCGTGTCTCTGTCTCTCTCACCTTATCTCTCCGTATCTCACGCTCTGTCTCTCTCGCCTTATCTCTCCGTGTCTCACTCTGTCTCTCTCGCCTTATCTCTCCGTGTCACTCTCCGTGTCTCACTCTGTCTCTCTCGCCTTATCTCTCCGTGTCACTCTCCGTGTCTCACTCTGTCTCTCTCGCCTTATCTCTCCGTATATCACTCTCTGTCTCTCTCGCCTTATCTCTCCGTGTCTCTCTCTCTGTCTCACTCTCTGTCTCACTCTGTCTCTCTCGCCTTATCTCTCCGTGTCTCACTCTACGTGTCTCACTGTCTCACACTCTGTCTCACTCTCTGTCTCTCTCGCCTTATCTCTCCGTGTCACTCTCCGTGTCTCTCACTCTCTGTCTCACTCTCTGTCTCTCTCGCCTTATCTCTCCGTGTCTCACTCTGTCTCTCACTCTGTCTCTCTCGCCTTATCTCTCCGTGTCTCACTCTCTGTCTTTCTCGCCTTATCTCTCCGTGTCACTCTCTCTGTCTCACTCTCTCCGTCTCACTCTCTGTCTCTCTCGCCTTATCTCTCCGTGTCTCACTCTACGTGTCTCACTCTGTCTCACACTCTGTCTCACTCTCTGTCTCTCTCGCCTTATCTCTCCGTGTCACTCTCTCTGTCTCACTCTCTCCGTCTCACTCTCTGTTTCTCTCGCCTTATCTCTCCGTGTCTCACTTAACGCGTCTCTCCCTGTGTCTCGCTCTCTATGTTTCTCTCTCTCCCTCTCTCTGGGTGCATGCCCGGCTAGTTGTGACCAATCGCCTGACGAAGCTGGTGTTGTTGTTGTAATCACCAGCGACACGTCCCAGTACTGGAATTGTAAATGTCGTGGGGGTTTAACTCTCCAACACACAAGCGGTTAGTGCTGCACTAGTAACTCATTGGTACGTTCTGTTTACTTGATAAACCCCTTACTAATTGGCTGCGTCGAGTGGTGGCGGGTTTAACGACACATTTATATATTTACGCGATATAAACCAAGCAACAAAAACCCACATTGATTATGGATAATTTTAGTGGCGAAAACCTCCTCCTCCTCTTACTACTACGGGGTGTTAAACGGTGCGATTTCTACTGGACGTATGTGGACAAGATCTTTATAGCTTCATCGGATCCCTCCAGGATAAATTCAGATTGTGACTCTGATTCTATCATCGATTATCGCGTCAATCACTAGACGTCACAACGTCGCGTGTCTGTCTGCGTAGGGTGGCGGAGGGCCTTGACGACACGCGTTCGCTCAGACCATTGCGTCGCCTTCAAATCAAACAGTCCGTTATGAATCTAACAAAGGGTTGTTGTTGTTGTTTTTGTTGGGGCTAGATCGCGTAAATATAAATGTTTTGTGCCGTTAAACCCGTCACCACCACCACCACCCGACACGGCCAATTAGTAAGGAGGTTGTCACGTAAACACCACGTGGACAATGGTTTACGAGTTCAGCGCTGACCGCTTGTGGGTTTTGAGTGCAAACTTGCAAATGTTGTTGTGGTGGGGTTTTCTCTCCCAACACACAACCGGTTAGTGCTGACCTAGTGACTAGACTGGCACTTTTTATTATTATTATTTACGTGACTAAATCCTTACCAATTGGCTGGTGGGTTCCTATATTTATGCGATCTCACGCAAACGACAACAAAGACAACCTTCATTGTGCACAACATTTGTTCGCGAAACCCCCCTGCTGCTAACTGCTACGTGTTACACCCAACCTATGATGAGCGTCACGGTGGCTTTTCGAAATGCACCGCGTGCTGTCAAGTTGACCGTGAGCTGGGTGCAGTACGCATGATCCTAGTAGCACAAGCAGCTACTACATTTGTAGTAGTAGCTACTACATTTGTACATATACAGTGAGGGAAAAAAGTATTTGATCCTCTGTTGATTTTGTACGTTTGCCCACTGACAAATAAATGATCAGTCTATAATTTTAATGGTAGGTTTATTTGAACAGTGAGAGACAGAATAACATCAAAAAAATCCAGAAAAACGCATGTCAAAAATGTTATAAGTTGATTTGCATTTTAATGAGGGAAATAAGTATATGACCCCCTCTCAATCAGAAAGATTTCTGGCTCCCAGGTGTCTTTTATACAGGGAACGAGCTGAGATTAGGAGCACACTCTTAAAGGGAGTGCTCCTAATCTCAGCTTCTATACAGGTCACGAGCTGAGATTAGGAGCACACACTTAAAGGGAGTGCTCCTAATCTCAGCTTCTTACCTGTATAAAAGACACCTTTCCACAGAAGCAATCAATCAATCAGATTCCAAACTCTCCACCATGGCCAAGACCAAAGAGCTCTCCAAGGATGTCAGGGACAAGATTGTAGACCTACACAAGGCTGGAATGGGCTACAAGACCATTGCCAAGCAGCTTGGTGAGAAGGTGACAACAGTTGGTGCGATTATTCGCAAATGTAAGAAACACAAAAGAACTGTCAATCTCCCTCGGCCTGGGGCTCCATGCAAGATCTCACCTCGTGGAGTTGCAATGATCATGAGAACGGTGAGGAATAAGCCCAGAACTACACGGGAGGATCTTGTCAATGATCTCAAGGCAGCTGGGACCATAGTCACCAAGAAAACAATTGGTAACACACTACGCCGTGAAGGACTGAAATCCTGCAGTGCCCGCAAGGTCCCCCTGCTCAAGAAAGCACATATACATGCCCGTCTGAAGTTTGCCAATGAACATCTGAATGATTCAGAGGACAACTGGGTGAAAATGTTGTGGTCAGATGAGACCAAAATGGAGCTCTTTGGCATTAACTCAACTCGCCATGTTTGGAGGAGGAATGCTGCCTATGACCCCAAGAACACTATCCCCACCGTCAAACATGAAGGTGGAAACATTATGCTTTGGGGGTGTTTTCTGCTAAGGGGACAGGACAACTTCACCGCATCAAAGGGACGATGGACGGGGCCATGTACCGTCATCTTGGGTGAGAACCTCCTTCCCACAGCCAGGACATTGAAAATGGGTCGTGGATGGGTATTCCAGCATGACAATGACCCAAAACACACGGCCAAGGCAGCAAAGGAGTGGCTCAAGAAGAAGCACATTAAGGTCCTGGAGTGGCCTAGCCAGTCTCCAGACCTTAATCCCATAGAAAATCTGTGGAGGGAGCTGAAGGTTCGAATTGCCAAACGTCAGCCTCGAAACCTTAATGACCTGGAGAAGATTTGCAAAGAGGAGTGGGACAAAATCCCTCCTGAGATGTGTGCAAAACTGATTGCCAACTACAAGAAACGTCTGACCTCTGATTGCCAACAAGGGTTTTGCCACCAAGTACTAAGTCATGTTTTGCAGAGGGGTCAAATACTTATTTCCCTCATTAAAATGCAAATCAATTCATAACATTTTTGACATGCGTTTTTCTGGATTTTGTTGTTGTTATTCTGTCTCTCACTGTTCAAATAAACCTACCATTAAAATTATAGACTGATAATTTCTTTGTCAGTGGGCAAACGTATAAAATCAGCAGAGGATCAAATACGTTTTTTCCCTCACTGTATAGTACCTATGGGCCCCGCACTTTCAAGGGCCCCGCGCTAAATGCTTTAAAGCTATCAATTCCGGTTCAGTGATTCTGCACTTGCTCTATTACTATAGTACTATACCGCCTTCAACTTTTATGAACGACCGGGTGTTTAAGGTTAGCGATTTGTCGTATTATCTGGCTTATAGCAAATGACAAAAATACATTTACTTTACTGTGCAAGTTAAAAATGTATGTGTTTTAATATTAACGTTTTAGAAAACTTTAGGGCCCCTTTATAACATCATATGCTACAGGCCCCGCATTCGCTTCATCCGGCACTGGCTGGGTGCTTCTGCCATCCCCCCCCCCCCCCCGTACAGCCGAATGGGGCACCGTGAGGGTGGTGGTGGTGGTGGTCGTCTTCATAACGCAGCGATGCTCGCAACAACGCAGAATGAACCGTGGCGAGATCACGTTCACTCGTCAGCAGCAGCAGCAGCTACGGGCTGTACACTGGGTGGATGTCGTAATCTAAGAGTGTATCGGCATGCAGTGTTGGCATGGTGCATGGGCGTGGTGTATTGCCATGGTGTTATCCCCACGGTGTTTCGGCGTAGTTTATGACGGAGTGTTAATCATCTGGACGCAAAGGCGTGCGCTGTTAAATCGCGGCACTGCTCGCCACGAGAGCGTGGTGTTGATGACATCGAGGCCGTCCCCCAAAGCGCGCGCGGGGGTCCCGGGGCGGTCGCTCGGATTCGCCGTACCCTCGCGGGCGGCTAATAGACATTGCGACTGTGCGCATTGCGGGATTCTTTTATTATGAACAAAACTGCAGGTGGCGCTGTGACGCCGTTGTCACGTGACTCGCGCAGCGTTTCACAGGGAGGCCACGTGCTCAAGCGACGCGTGGCCTGCACCGACGAAGCGTCGACGTCATCGCCCGTGACGTATTTTAAAGTGTAAACTATTGTATTGTTATTTAGTTATTTGTTTTTTACAGGGTGCAGAGCCTACTGAGCGGTTGGCCTCTTTATTCACATGCGAGCCTGGCCACACGTGATGCAAGCTCGATGTCATCGCCATCAACACACGTGTAAAATGTGGAAACTGCAGCCAGATAAAACTAAACGTATTTATTTTACCAGGTAAGGCCCACTGAGCTATATAGCTCTTTCAGAACAGGGGCGGAGCCATGGGGGGGGGGGGGGGCTAGGGGGGGGCTTAGTCCCCCCTGAAATTTTGGGAAAGTCGGTATCGGGATAACCGGATATCCGGCTGCTGCAAATTGCTGCAGGCTGCCACCTCGTGCTGCCCTGCAGGCTGCCACCTTGTGTGCTGCCCTGCAGGCTCCC